AGTGAATGAGAGAATAAGTTAGTGATAGGTACATAGAAAACCTAAACAAATTGATATTTAATCCAAGGAAATTTAATATAGTATAAAATATGATTTGACTATGACTAGTATTTAAATAGTCATAATAATATAAACATTAAACATTTATCTAATGAAAATATGAATATATTGAGAAGATGGGGGGAAAAGGAAAGTGAGGAAGAAGTGGGATGCAATGCTGTATAAGAGAGCTTAGTAAGTCCCCATCCTTCATAGCAGGAAGTCAAGCATTAAACGCTAAAACTTAAAAAAAATCAAGAAATGCTCGTCTAAGCCTGTTGTCTAAAAATAAGGAGGGTTGAGCATCGTCCTGTGCACCTAAAGGTTGCTGGTTCGATTCCCAGTCAGGGCACATACCTGGGTTGTGGGTTTGATCCCCGGTTGGGCATGTATGGAAGGCAACCAATTGATGTTTCTCTCTCTCTCTCTCTCTCTCTCTCTCTCTCTCTCTCTCTCTCTCTTTCTCTCTCTCTCTCTCCACCCTTTCTTCTCTCTAAGCATGTCCTCAAGTGAGGATTAAAAAATAATCATAATAAAATAAAATAAGGGGGCAAATGCCAAAAGTAACAGCTAAGAAAGTGGGAGGTGGGAATGGAGGTCTGTGACACAAACTGGGATGGCTCTTTTTTTTTTCCTTTTTGGGGGGAATGGCTCTTTTTTTTATAAAAGGTTTTATTCTAGCCCTAACCGGTTTGGCTCAGTGGATATAGCGCCAGCCTGCAGACTGAAAAGGTTTTATTCTGTTATACACACCATAACCTTGATTTGTTTGATTAAATTTTTTAAAATATGGAAGGCATCCACAGCAAGTGAGAGGCGTGGGACAATGCAATTAGCCAGGTATGGTTGACTCACGAGTACAGGGCAGGGAAGGGCGGAACGGAGGCAAAGCAGGGAGAGAAGGAAGCGCCAAGCATCGAAGGGGAAAAGGAACATCATGAGTGGTTAAGCAGAGGAGTCCTGATCACATCCTTATTCCTCATCTTGACCACATTCTTGTTAGAAGATCGCTGGGCAGAAATGGGGGTGGGAGAGATGGATAGCACGGGGCCCTGGTGAGTAGGCTGTAGCCAGTTCTAGGGAGAGAGGAAGCAGGTCTGAATGGGGCAGTGGTTTGGGGAATGAAGAAGAAATATTTCCCAGGGAGCTCATCAGCACAAAATGTACAGGCTGAGGGGAAAGGGGGAAAGGAAGGAGTTGATGGGGTGATGAGGAGGAGCAGGTGGGGAGAAGAAAGGCTCTAACCATGAGCACTCTCCTCAAGGCAGAGTCTCACCCTTCCACCGTCCAACAGAAAAACCATTGTGTGCAAAGGTGAGGAGACAAGGGATCAAGCTCAGAGCTCAAGCGTTGAGTCTGTGGTAAAAATACCGAATGGGACAGGGTGGTATAAAAGAAAGGCTCGCCAAGATGGGCCCTGAGAAGCTGGGGTGATGATTATCTGTGGCGTCATCTTCCCTGGGGCCATCCTGTTACCTTAACAGTCTATTTTGTAATGTTCTGTATTGCGTGTGAATTCCTCAAAGGTCTTGGTAAAACTGTCATGGATGGACATTGTAGCCAGACAGACCTGGCTGGGAACCTCAATCCTGTCACTATCAGCGTGACTTCATGCAAGTGACTTAACCTCTCTGAACCCCAGGGTTGTGTCTGTGACCACACCCAGGTCACAGAGTTGCTAGGAAGGTCTAAGGAAAGAACCTCTGTAAGATGCCTCGCCTGGTGTCTGTTGGCATGTGGGCGCTCCTTCCCACCCTGTCTCTCACCTCCCACTCCCACGATGGCATGGAGGTCTTCGGGGAAGACCCTACAAACCCCTCCGAGCTTCGCTCTTTCTCGTATCCCTCAGACTGAGTCCCAGAAGGCCCCTGGGCGTCACCTTCAACTCCCTTCTCAACCATTCAAGGACAGAGACCACACATGTTTGCATCAACCAGAAAGTCAGCTTTATTAGCCCATCACCGGCGGAGAGGAAGGGGAGACAGCTGGGACTTGCGCTGGGAGAACAGAGGCCTGACCCAGGCCTTCCGGGGGTGAGGCCGGTGGGCGGGCAGGAAGTTCTGGGAGAGGCAGCTCAGTGCTTGGAGCTCTGGCCCTGGCTGAAGCTTGAGGAGCCCTGCTCCTTGAGGAGGGGTCGAGTCTGGCGGCCGGAGGGGGAGGACACGGCTGTGGGAGAGAAGAGATGAGGTGAGAAGGACTCTGGGAGCTCAGCTGGCCCCACGCAGGGAAAACGGGGGGTGGGCGCTGGAGGCTCTGAAATGCCAGGGACCCTCAGGAGTCTTACCATCTCGGGAAGAATAGGATTGGCTGGATGATGACGTGTGCTGAGAGGAGGAGAGACTGTGGGGGAGAAAAGGCAGAGCAGTCAGAGGTGCTGGGAGCAGCAGGGGGGCAGAAGGGTCTATGGAGTAGGACTGAGGGGAGGGGGTGCAGGGGCAGGCACTCACTGGGCATCCTCTCCCTCCAGCAGGCGGCGGTAGGTGGCGATCTCCTGCTCCAGCCGGGTCTTCACGTCCAGCAGGATCTGGTACTCCTGGCTCTGCTGCTCCATCTCACAGCGCAGCTGGGCCAGCTGCTCCTCCACGCTGCCGATCATCCCCTGGATCTGGGACACCTGCATGCAGTAGCGGCCTTTGTTCTCCTCCAGGCTGCCTTCCAGGGATGCTTTCTTTTTGTGAGAGAACAAGAGAGTCATTGGAGGTGGTCACTCCTGCCCCTACAGGTCTCTGGGCATTTTTTCTGGGAGGTGCATGGGCTACGGGTGGGTCAGACAACATGGAGAAAAGTTATTCCACCATTCTAGGCCTTCATTTCTCCATCTATATAGTGGGTACAAGGATCCCTTCAGCCCCACTCTTGGGGAAAGAGAGGTGGAACTGTATTGTGACTTGGGGGCTGGGGGGGGGGGGGGGGGTTTTCATACCATGCTGAGCTGGGACTGCAGTTCGATCTCCAGGCCCTGGAGCACCCTCCGGAGCTCGGTCACCTCGCTGCGGTTACTCTGCACCATCTGGCTGTTGGAGGCCACTTCTTTGTTCAGCTCGTCGGTCTGAGATGGGAAAAAAGAGCAGAAGGTGTGAGGCACTCCAGCGGCCCCCCGGCTGGGAAGTCCCGCAGGAGGGCTGAGGGCCCAGCCCCACCTTGCTCAGGAACCAGGCCTCGGCGTCTCGGCGGTTCTTCTCTGCCATCTGCTCATACTGGTCTCGCATCTCATTCAGGATGCGGCTCAGGTCCACACCGGGGGCAGCATTCATCTCCACGTTGATGTCCCCGCCAGTCTGACCCCGCAGGGCAAGCATCTCCTAGGAAGGGGTGGCGAGAGGGAGTCAGCTCAGCATCTATACCCCACTGACCCAGCCTCCCACCAACAATGCCAGCAGCCACCTCACCTCCTCGTGGTTCTTCCTCAGGTAGGCCAGCTCCTCCTTCAGGCTCTCGATCTGCATCTCCAGGTCGGCCCTGGCCAGGGTCAGCTCGTCCAGCACCCGGCGCAGGCCGTTGATGTCGGCCTCCACGGTCTGGCGCAGGGCCAGCTCATGCTCATACCTGGCGGACAGAGGTCAGGGCATCAGGTTGCATCCATGAGGCCTCTGAGGCTCAAGCCCTGCTGGTCCCCCTGGACAGAGAGCCCCACTGTTCACCCCCTGCTCTCTGCTTTCGGCCCTCAGCCCAGCCACCAAGAGACTCACTTGGTCCTGAAGTCGTCAGCTGCCAGCCTGGCATTGTCAATCTGCAGAATGGGCTGAGCATTCTCAATGGTGGCTGTAATGATCTGCAGAGGGGGCGAAGGGCGGGAGGCCGCGTTAACAAGATCCTGCTGCTCAGGGGCAAAGGATACAGAGGGGAGAGGGAAGTATCCCCACATTTGGGGCTTTCCTGGCTGGCAGGTCAGGCCCTATGCTTCTCCAGCCAGCCTGGGGTGCCTTCCCACCCAGCTCAGGGTGTGTAGGGGATGCACCCACCTCTCCTATCACCCCATCCTGGGCCCGAGTCTGAGAGAAGCTGAGCATGCAGGGAAATAAGAGAGTCAGGGTCCCAGGCCCAGATCAGACACCTAGATGCTGAAAAAGGACCCCCGGCCACCAACTCTCTGAGTGGCCCTGGGCCACTGCCCCCAGGCCAGCCGCGGTCTCCCTGTTTGTAAAATGGAGATGCTAGCAAGTGGTTTTCTAAGAGCCACTGCAGCCATGACCTCACTCAATGCTCCACCCACCAGAGCCACCCACCTGGCCCACCCACCTTGTTCCTGAGGTCCTCGATGGTCTTGAAGTAGTGGCTGTAGTCCTTGACTTCACTGGGCCGCTGCCTCTGGTACCAGTCACGGATCTTGACCTCCAGGTCGGCGTTGGCGTCCTCCAGGGCGCGCACCTTGTCCAGGTAGGAGGCCAGGCGGTCGTTGAGGTTCTGCATGGTGAACTTCTCATTGCCGGAGAGGAGGCCGCCATCGCCACCCCCGATGCTAGCACCGAAGCCACCGCCAAAACCACCACCATATCCTCCTCCAAAGCCACCACCCAGGCCTCCGCCAAAGCCACTACCCAGGCCTCCACCATAGCTGCTGCTGCTGAAGCCACCGCCATAGCCGCCTCCCAGCCCGCAGGCCCCCCCGGAGGAGTAGCGGGAGGAGGACATGCCCCCGAAGGCGTTGGAGGCCCGGCAGGACCCTCCGCCCAGGACGGAGGACATGCGGCTGGAGCCACCGCCAATGCCACAGGAGCCCTTCATGGAGCCGGAGGAGGAGAACTGGCGGCTGCAGGTGGTCATGGTGCCGAGGAGGGAGGTGAGTGAGTGAGCGAGTGAATCGGCAGAGAGAAGCGAGAGAGAGGTGCTCAGGAAGGCGGGGAGGATGCTGGGCTCCTGGAGCCTGGGCACCTTTATATGTCCCTGGGAAGGCGGGGCCCTCCCAACTGCTGACTCCGGGTTCCCCTCCGGATTTCATCACTCCAGGTCCCGTCCAACTCCCCGCTCCGGATTACTCAGCCCGGGGTCGACTCACTTTGCTGTGCTGCTCGGAGTTCCCACCCAGCTTTGGGGGTGTGGGGCCCGAGAGAAAACACACACAAAAGCCGGTCGGTGGTGACTCAGGCTGGGCGGCAGGAATCGGCTCCTGTTCCCGGAGCCCGAGGGGACAGCAGGGCCTTGGCCCAGGTGGCTTTGTGTCGGCTGCGTCCCCGGGCGGTGAGTCAGCCCGTTGAAGACTCCCTGCCCCACGGGGACAGCCTCAGCCATGCCGTCCCAGGTCCCCCTTGGGATGCAGCAGTGGGGATCTACACGCCTGGCTCTTGGCAGGAGAGCTGGTTCCTGGCCTGGCTCTGCCTCGCTCACTGTGTGACCTGAGACCCCTCACCTGCCCTCTCTGGGCCTGTTTCCCCTCAGCAAAGTGACCAGGCTGGGCTGGGTGGTCTTGGAGTCCCTTCTAGTTCCACAGACTCGATCTCTCTCTCTCTCTCCTGGAGGCTGCCTTTGAGCCCCTAGGACCCCCAGAAGTGGTGTGCACCATGGAACCAGCCCGCCCCGTGGAGCTGGCCAGGTGGCAGCTTCAACCCCGGCTCTGCCCCTTATAAGCTGCATGGCATAGGCAGTCCTCTGAGCCCCAGGGGTTTCTATCTGCAAAAGGGGAGGACACACCACCAGCCACAGAGGAACATGCATGAAGGACCCCTCTGGCCCCTCCCCGATGGCCAGCTCTGACCCTCGCCAGCTCCTTCAGCCCCCCACCCTTTTTGCCAGCACAGATGCCCCTCACCTACCCCCTCAAGCCCACCTCTTCCCGGCACCTCCCTCTCACACCCCTGCCCTTTTCTCTGTACTTCTGAGCAACCCACCTCGAATACATTGCTCCACCTAATCACTGGGACCCACTATACACGGTGATGGGAGGGGGTCCCTGTCCTGCTACCAGTGCCATGAGGGACCCCTGACCACACCATGGGCTTTCGAGACCCCACACTGTATCCAGGGCTCAGTTCCCAGCAGTTTTCTCTCAAGTGTCCACAGATTCCTAGCTGGGCTCTCTTATTCCGTTGAGAGAGGTGGGAAGGTGGCTCTCTGGTCACCTGCCACGCTCAGGTGTTGTATAGAGTGCCCTAATGTGCCACACAGTTCCCTGGGGGGGGGGGGGCCTGTTCCTGCCACTAGTTCACAGACAGGGAGCTGGGAGGATAAGGGGGCTCCCCAAGACCCTAGTCAATGGGGAGCTGAGGTTGGAACCCCTGTCTGTCCGTTTGTCCAGCTTGAGCCCTTTCCACCATCCTGCGCCACTCTCTCTATGCATCCCCAACATACATCTTTGTCTTGAACTCATCCTGTGAAGTAGAGGGAAACCAAGAGAGGGGGCGATTCCCCTAAAGTCACTAGCCTGGAACTAGAACCGAGCTCAGGCCATCTCTGAAACCGGACAAGGAACGGGTCCAGGCTGCCTGTCACTACTTGAGCCAATGGAGCAGGCCCAGGGTTGGATCATGTATGAGTGTTTATTCCAATACTGCCGGCAGTATGGGAGAGCAGCAGGCCATCCATGAAAATCTGCTCTGCACCCCTCCATATGCTTATACGGGGAAGAAGGACAAAGATTACCTGGGAAAGTAGGAATGACAGAGATGGGGAAGCGGGCAAGGTATAGTGTAACGGTTACAGGTTACAGGCAATGCAGGCTGGTGGTCGCAAAGGGAGGGCACCTCCAGGACCAGATTGTTTTGGCAACAAGCTTGTTAAACTTTCCATGATGATAGGCAGCTCTGGAAGAGAGGAATGGACGCATTCCGAGGTTGACTCCCATGTCCCGGGGCATACAACTCTCAGCCAGGTCAGAATGTGCTTTCTCTAATCAGAACAGAACAATCGCGAATAACAGAGCATGATTAATGTGTCTTACAGCTATCGCGAGGACCCACTGTTCTATGTCTGCCCCTAACAACCCCACTCTCCCACAGTGTCTTAGAGGCAGGGACCAAGGCGTGTCTAGGCTCAGCCTCCTCCCTGGAAGGAGCTCTGCCCACAGTGGGCATGACCTCGGCCCAAGGGCTGGAGGCAGGATTGGGAGGGTCTATACCCAAAGTCAGAGGCCTCCTCGGGGTGGTCTGAGGGGTGACCCACAGAGCTGGCCACTGCCCTTGCTCGGAAGTGCCTCTGTCAAGGTGAGGAGCAGAGAGGGCCTGCCTCAGCCTGAGCTCTGCTGGGCGATACCACCTTGAAACTCTCTGCCTCAGCAGAGCCAGGCTTTGCCACAGCAGCATGGTGCTCCGTCAGTCATTGGCTTGTGGGCACAGGGCCCAGTGGTATTAGCAGAGCTGGGGCCCAGCACACGCCTTTAGGACTAAGCCTGGGAGATGCTCCCTCCCTCCCCACACCCCGCAAATGGGTAAAGGGGCCTTGGAATTTTGGACAAAAAAAAATCCTACCATCCCAGGTGTCAGGGTGGGCCTGGAGGTCAGGGCCGACTACAGACTCATCACCCTCAGAACTGGAAATGACCTTTGAGGTCACCACAGGCCACCAAGCTCCCATCAAAGAGAGTGAGAGACTTTTCCCAGGTTACACAGCATGGAGGCCGAGGAGCAGGGACTCGAACCCGGCTCTGGGAGCTTTCCCTCTTGGTCCCCAGCACAGCCTCCACCTCCTTTCTAATTGGATCACCTTCCCTCCCCCATCCCTGCAGGTGCAGGGAGGGGTGCACACAGGCCCAGCGCTGAAGGTCCAGGGAGCTGCCTGGGCTGAGAAGCTGCAGGAATAAAGTTGCTGACCAGCCCATCGAACCACTCAGTCACACCACAGACCAAGCACCCACCACATGCCCGGCATTGGGGGCGCAGGGGGTGGGGGAGATGTGACATAGTCTCTGACCTTGGACCTTATGATTTGACCCGGGAGAACACTGAGGTGGGAATAGCACCGAGTGCAGGAAACCCTGAGATGCTCTGCCCTCAGGATGCAGCTGGGTGAGTGTCACCAGCTCTCAGCCCAGCGGTAACGGAGGGGCTGCCTCTGAGATCCTCGTGGGAAGATGGCTGAACCCGCGGTGGCTCCAGCTGGGCCTCAGACGTCTGAGTTGGCAGAGAAGGAGTGGGGAGCATTTCCTCCATTACACCAGCCCCAAGATTGCCAAACACCAGAATCACCAGGCCGGGTGGGCACAGAGCACCTCCAGGCAGTGGGTTCGCCTCATTCCTCTCTCCTGGGGCCGTCCCATTCCAGAGTTGGCCAGGAAATATTATTTGCCAATGCCACGCCTCCACTTGCCAGATTCACAAACCTGACTGATCACCAGCATCCTATCCAGATCCCTGGGCCCTGCTCCAGCACACTGCCCAGCATCAGCCCACTGCACCAGCATCAGCACACTGCATAGCATCAGCCCACTGCACCAGCATCAGCACACTGCATCAACATCAACAACCCACTGCATCATCAGCCCACTGCATCAACATCTGCCTACTGCATCAGCATCAGCCCACTGCACAGCATCAGCACACTGCATCAACATCAACAACCCACTGCATCATCAGCCCACTGCATCAACATCTGCCTACTGCATCAGCATCAGCCCACTGCACAGCATCAGCACACTGCATCAGCATCAGCCCACTGCACAGCATCAGCAGGACAAGGCAGGTGCTAGGACTGTTTTCTTTCTGGTAACCAGCCAGACTTGGGGGGGGAACAGCAGGGGAAGGAGGCCCCAGGGAGCCTGAGGAAAGAGAAGAGGGGGCTGCAGGGCCCTCAGCTCCTGGTGGCAGCCAGATCCATGGGCTCCGGGGGAGGATGAAGAGAGAAGAGGCTGGATGAGCCAGGACAGAGCAGTCTGGAGCCAGGCAAGCAGGGACCAGATACTGGACAAGTCTTTGTGCCTCTCTGGGCCTCAGTTTTCTTCTCCTACTTCACAGGCATGTTAGAGGCGAAATAAATAAAGCACCTAGCACAGACTGGTGGCCATGTTGCATTTATTCACAGATATTTATAAAGCTCCTACTATGTGCATTGATATGCAAAAACAAACAAATGAACAACAACAAAAACAAGAGAAACCCCGAGGGCATACCATTTGGAAGGACTGGGGGCAGAGACAATCCCAGTACTGTGTGCTCAGCTGTGATAGGGTGAGGGGCCTACAGGGGGTGGGGCAGGCTCTCTGGGGGTGAACAAATGTCCCTGACTCAGGCGCTGGCCCCATGACTGGTCCCAGGATCTGGGTGAATCTGAATGCCAAGCTCACCCGTGTTTGATGCCCCCCTTCTAAGGGCAGGGGCTGTCACAGCCCCTCACAATGGTCTACACAACCCTCAGGGAAGCCCATGGCTGGGTCAATGTTGGCTACAGCCTGAGCCCTGTGCCTGGTGGGAGAACTGTCCTGGCTCTGGTCCCAATGTTCTCCTCAGCCATCCACAGCATGGATGGCACAGGAGGCCCACAATGCATAAGGGCAAAGGGCGTATTGTCAGCCCACCACTGTGCTGTGCTCACCCTCCTAGGCTAGGGTCCCTTGGGTCCCTGCAGGCCAGGGCTGGTGTCTCTTGCTTCCCCCGGTCCCCATGCAGACCCAGGCACAGAGCGGGGCAGTACGGTGGGCAGTGTACTGACTATGGTTCCCCTCCCAGGGCAGGCAGCATGGTGGAGGCAGTCTCAGGGGCTGGCTACCACG